GGACGCCACCCAACTAAAGGGAAAAACCCTCCAAAAAAAAAAAAAAAAAAAAGATGAGCTGATGGAGCTGGCAGATGGCATGGTGGTTAAGGGCACTGGACTCCCACATGGCCAATCACAGTTCAAGTCCCAGACGTAGTGGCTTGCTTTCTGCCTGATCCCCCTTACCTTCCCCCACACCTGGTCAAATTAAAAAACAAATAAATAGACTTAAATAAAATAATTCTTAAAGAAAAAAAAAAAAAAGATAAGCTGAGAGGCCAGCAGGTGGCATGTTGGTTAAGGTGTTGGACTCCCACGTGACTGGATACACTTAGAGTCCCAAACCTGGCAGCTTGAAAATCATGCTAGGTGCACATGCATGTGTGCCCACAGTCCCGAGAGGAAACTAGAGTAGAGCCTGCAGCATATCCATCCCCTATAGGCAGTTATTTCTCATTTTCCCCGTTTCTCTCCCACTGAGCATATGTACCCTATGACAAAAGCCTTAAAAAAAAAAAAAAAGATAAAAAGTTGCAATAAAATCTTTGATTCTGTAATTTAATCCAGATACTATTTGTAATAAATTATATAAATATTAAAATCAGCACTGTTATGTTTCTGATACTGGAGATCTACCGTTAACTTCATCCTTTCCTGTGGAGATTGTAATGGCTTCTTTCACTCATTTATTTCATATATTATATCTTTAGCCTGCTTTTAAGCTTTGAGAAATGTATAATGAAAATAAAATGTTTAGGCTTAATTTAATGGCTAAATTTTTTTTTAATTAAGGGGATTAGCATATGGCATAATGGTAACGTTACGAGACTCTAACACAGTTGACCACGGTTTGAGTCCTGGACCCAGTGGCTTAAAACTCAGGCTGGGCGCCATGTGCATGCGTGCCCAAAATCCTGAGAGGAGAATGGAGAAAGGACGTGGTGTGGCCATCACTTCTGGGGCGGGGTGGTGATTTCTCACTTTCTGTCTCTGTCTTTCTCTGTCTCTCTGGAAGAGCACATGTGCTCTACAGTAAAAATCTCTCTTTAAAAAAAAAAGTTAAGGGGACCAGCAGGTGGCAAGGTGACTAAGGTGCTGGACACTCCCATGTGGCTTATCACGGTTAGAGTCCTGGACCTGGTGGCTTGCTTTCTCACTTTCTCTCTCACTCTCTCTGTCTCTCTCTGGTCAAATTAAAAAGTAAGTAAATAAATAAATAGTTAAATAAAATAATTCTTTAAAAAATATTAGGATCTTAATTACACTTTTTCCTTTAGATCTCAGCATGTGCACGTGCGCGCGCACACACACACACACACACACACAAAATACTAAAGGGGTAGTTTACCAATATCTAGAGGCAATGTGATGTAGTTGAGCAACACCTAAAGTCAGACATGGGTTCAAATTAGAGCTTGTGCACCATTGCACCATTAGTTTGTGGCAATATGACTGTCAGCAAATTACTCAACCAAGCCTGTTTCCTCACCTATAAAATGGCGCGAATAAAGTTATCTACCTCATAGGATGTCATAAGAATTAAATGACAGAAGACAAGTAAAAATGATCATCATAGTAAGAACTCTCATGAAATGTTAGCTATTGGGACCAACAGGTGGTGTGGTGGTTAAGGTGGTGGACACTCCCACAGTGGCCGACCATGGTTCAAGTCCCAGACCTGGTGGCTTGCTTTCGCACTTTCCCATACTCTTTCTCTCTGTGTGTCTCCCACTGGTCAAATTAAAATAAATAAATAAATAAAAAATTTTTAAAATGTTAGTTACTGTTATTATTTAACTAATTCCTAAACTTCCAAATGATCACAGGCATTTCTCCTATGAACTTCCTGGATGTAAAACACAAGGCTCTCCCTAGTGACACTCAAGGATGATAACTATTAAACTTTTCTATGTGCTCTTGTACAAGATTTAGGAAAAATAAGTTTCCTGCCAGTCAACTTTTCAGATACTATGTTTTACAGAGGAATAAAAATAGAGCATGGAATCAGAACCAAAGCATCTTTGTAAATTCTAAACCAGGAAGTTTAATAACAGCATCAAACATCAAATATCGCGCAACAATTATGAGATTATGCATTCTATTAAATAGCGTCCGTGTTCTTGCACACTACACAATTACTAATTAAGTTGTATTGTGCAAGTTGAGGCAGCAATAATAGAAGACAGCTTACATTGGACCAGTCCTCGCTGCTCTGACAGGGTGATGAGCTAGGTATTTTACGGCCATTTTAACAGAAGAAATTTAGCTAGAGACAGGTTAAGTAATCTATCCAAGGTCACAAAGTCAGTTAAAAGGATGGAAGTGGAATATAAACTTGGACAAGCAGGCTCAAAAGTTTATGGCCCGACTAAACTGATCAAGTTAGATTGGTAGGGTAACTTTCTTCTAATATGCAAACTGATTTCTTCGCAAGAGCGGGGAAACTAAAACTTCCTCAAAAGTCTGGCTTCACTCTTCAACCGGTGAATACATTTTAACTCTCTCCCCTGTAACTGCCAAAGAAAGCCGGCCTTATCGTACACGTAGAGAAAGTAAGTAGTGGCAGAGGCTGAGCTTTCAGTTTGGAGATCAATTGCTGGTCGGTCTGCGCGCACCGTTTCAACGTGGGTCGACCGACCTCGCAAAATACGAGTGACCCACAAGTCGGACCCACGCCGGCTGTAATGAAACTGCGTAAACCGCACCGACAAGCGGTCATTTCAAAAACCTCCCAGAGATGACTGTGTGGTCATTCCTGGTCGTCTGAGACAGGACAAAATGGAACTTGCATAACACTTAGTCATCAGTAAGTGCTGAAGTTACAAACCAGGTTCGCAAAATCCAATCTGCAGCCGAATTCCTAATTCCGAAAGAAAGAAAAAGGGCTGACACACGGAGTGGAAGGGTGAAGACACCTAGGGCCCAAGCGGAAGCGCATCACAGGGGAAAAACCAGCCCAACGGGCAGGAACTCCAGGCCGTGAGCAGCCACCACGGGGGACGCCGGGGAGTTTTCCGGGCCCTTCCACTCCCTTCTCACCAGCCCTGTCCTCATGTCTAGAGGCCGTTCAGACCCAGCCTGTGCCAGGGCCAATTCGGGAAGGCGATCCGAGGACCGAGCGCGCAGACCTGAGATCTGCCGGCCCAGATCCAGGGGTCGGGAGGCCAGAGCTTCCCAGCTCCCGAGGGGCCGGGCCCCGAGGCGCCACCTCCCGCTCCCGGCTGCGCACCTGCAGGGTGGTGATGTGCTTGTCGTTGAACTTGTTCTCGCAGTAGCGCAGCACCAGCGACGTCTTCCCCACGCAGCCTTCCCCCAGCAGCACCACCTTGAACGAATAGGCTCGGCC